GACAGGATTGCTTTAAATCAGAATAATCCTACCAGGAGTAACCAATGGTTTAATTGATGTCTTGGCTTTCTGCTTGGTTGTTTTTGGCAGCAGCCCACTTTCTACTGCATGATGTCTTATCCAGCACTATTAATACACTAAGTTTAGGAGCACATGCCAACTGTCCATTTCATTTTTAAAAAAAACATACAAATGACCAAGCATTGGGATTTCTTTGTGCTGTGGCCATTGGTTATTTGTACAGTCAAAAAAGTGTTTTGGTTGAAAGACTGGCAGTAAGTCACTGAAAAAAGGGGACAGTTATTATAGTACCATTTGACATCTTAATGATAATTTTGAAAGGCTGATAGTTTCAGCCCTCCCAAAGGCTTTTTAGGGAAATCTGGCAGATTTTCTCCTAGGTAAGAAAGGCCCAAAACTTTGATACTTGACCCACCTCAGTGAAATTTGATTCTGGAGCAGCAGGTGAAGAAATAACATAGCCCTACATACCTGATAGAAATAGATGGCTAAGTGGAAAGGTGAAATCCTATTAATATTGCTCCTGGAGACTGGAGAACAGATTCGTCCTTTATTAGACATCAGGGAATGCATGTAAAGACTCCTTTCATGTCTCTGCTCCCAGAACCAGTGATTTTCTCAGACAGACTCTTTCCTTTAAAAGACAGGAAATTAGCTGCACTGAAATATGAAATGAATACATTTTCAATATGATGCCTTGATTTGTGTATATTTTAGTTAGGTCTTCAAACATTTGGATTTTTAATAGTTCTTCTGTAAATCTTTCTCAGAAATTTGTTGGGTTTTGTTTCTTGGTCTTTGGAAGGAGTTGGTTATTGCCTGTACTAATTTCTTTCTGGTTCTTTCCCCCTTGTCTCACATTTAATTTGCAGCAGATACCTCAGCTCCCTTGAAAAGTGTTTGTCTTGGTTTTTATTTTACACCAAATTCAGCAGCAGCAGCAGCTCTGGTTTTTTTCCAGATGATTTCATCATGTTGTCCCTGACATTTCCTTGCATTTGTAGCACCTATTTATGTTTGAGATAAATGTCTATGGCTGACAAAAGAATGTTACAGACAGAGTTTGTAGTTTGTAGTCTGCTTGGTAATTCTTCATCTTCTATCAAGTGGTCATCAAGGGAAGCCTCAGGGATGGTGAACACCAGGGAAAGAGATTTTACAGTGGCTGCTGCTTCCTCATTGTCCTGTCTGATTGTATTTCACATGTGAGGAGAAACAGTCCAAAATCTGGGGTGTCTCATCTCATGAGAAGTCTCAGCTAGGGATGCAGGATTAGGGGTTTTTCTCAAAAATTAGAAAATCAGATACTCCTGGAAGAAGCCAGAGGTTGTGCCAGGCCTGCTGACACTGTGTGGTGAGGTCTCAAGAGGGCTTCTCACTGTGAGTCCTGCTTTTTGAATTTTTTTAATTGAATTATTTTGTTTTTTCCACAAAGACATGCGAAAGAACACGACCAGAACATGCAGAAAGAACTGGGGATCTCTGCTTTTTTGTGCACCAGGGAATCAAGAGCATGCTTTGATCAAGTGACAGCTTTTAGGTCCTATCTCCAAGAAGACAGCTGTGGTGTTAGAGCTGGCCCTGGGTGACAGGCTCAAAATGCTCTGTGTGTGCTGTTCTTGCTGGGCACGCTGTGTTTGCACATCCCAGGGGCTCAGGAGTTCTGCCTCTCTGCCCTGACTTGCAGATCCTGCTGGCTGTCTCCCAGTCCTGGAAAAGCTGGGCTGCAAAACAGAGGAGCAGCATTGGAAATCCTTGGCGCAGGGAAGAGTTATGGATGGACATACAGGTGTCAGCCCACAATGTGCCCAGGCTGCTGTCACCCAGAAGGGTTAGGAGAGAGAGAGAGAGAAATTACATTAGTGTCAGTTATGCTGGAAGTTCTTCTTCCCAACATATTCCTGGCCTGGCTGAGGAGTGGTGCAATAAAGACCTGACTGAATTCACCTGTATCCGTCTCCATTTCCACTGAATTCTTTGCTGATTTTGTTCTGCTTGAGGACTGGGGTAAATTTTGTTGTGAACAATCTCATAGGAGATCTACCTTCCTGTCTGGCTGCAGTTTTGCATAGAAAATAGAAATAAAAATCTATTTTACAATGTGAAGTCAAGATGATAGTTTATGTTTTAATGTCCTTTCTTTCCAGTGTTTTGGAGAGAAAAACTCACCTGTACTATTAAAAAATATATTTGGATAGAAATCAGTAATATTTTGTTTAGGAAATGTAAAAGAGGAACCAACAGACTTTCAGGCTGCCATCACTGTCCCTCTCTTTACTGAAATGTCCTGCTGTATTTGCTTCTCATTCCTCCTGCTGGCAATATGGCAAAAATTCTTGGAAAAGATCAAACTGTTCCCCAGAGCCAGCTCTAACCCCACTTGTCTTTCTAGCTCTGTTTTTTTCAGGTAGCTTTCTGGCAGGTCCAACACCGATTGCCAGTTTCCCTCCCTCCAGAGAGAATTTGCAGACAGGTTTGAACTTCAGCTCATTCCTTCTTTCTGCTGCCTGAGGGCACTTTGGGATATCTGAGCAGAGAAACTTTGATCAGTGGTAAACTGGTCAAAAGGAAAGGGACTTCAGGCAGCTGGAAAATATTTGTGAGTTGAATTTAGCAAGTGGTCTTGTCTGAGAAAATAGTTTCCACAAGTGCTGAAACACTTCCCTTCAGACAGAACCTCCAGCAGGCTTCCTCTATCATGCCATGAAAAATCAGAGTGTGCAGTGATTAGCTGTAGACAGGCTGTGGGAGGGGTGATGAGTTTCACTACAACACAATCAAACACCTCCTTTTGTGCCTCAGAGTGAAGTTTAAAATGGATTTAAGCACTTAACAGGTTAGGATATTTTTAAAGTCAGGTGTGCCTTTGCACAACTGATCCCCAGTGAGCGAGTTCCTCCTTGTGATGCATTCTGCTTTATGCCATCTGCCAAGGCTAAGCAGCACCAGACTGAGAATTAAGAAATTGAGAAAATGCACTGAAATTCCTTTCTCCATTCTGTATTTCCAGTTTTAGAATTTTTTTTAAATCCCACAACAGCAAACACAGAATAGCTCAGAGCTCAGTATGTGAAGACTTGTCTGATTTGGCCAGTTTTGGCCATCAGATGTGAAAGTGCCATGACCACATGGCACCCTCTCATTCATTCAGTTCCCAAGCTTTGTTAGTTTGCTTATGTAGCCTCCTGAGCTGTTCTCCTTAGTCAAGGTCTATTTGCTTTATTAAATGCTTGTATTTTTTAAATACAAGACTGTATTTAAAAAGCTAAAACAATTTTCCAAGTCCTTATCAAGAATTTATTTTTGACCTATTCATTTGTAGCTTGTGTTTTTCTAGTGCAAAGAAAGACACATCCATCACAAGGTGGGAAGGTGTCATCAGTAAGAGTAAAACCATAATTTCTAATTTACAAGTTGGCTAAGTTGTAGTGGAGCTGTGTGCCACAAACAAGTCTGCAAGGTGGATGTCCTAGAAAGCATTACTGCAATTTGCCATCCCACATGGCACTGACAGCTGAAATATTTCATTTGGGGCCACTGGTGCCGGAAGAAAAAGTGCATTTGATTCCTCAGGTATTGGTTTTTATATTTTTCAGATTCTGTGCTGCTTTGGTGTGAGTCTGGGCTTCATATTAGGGGACAGAAGCTCTCTTCCCAGAGCAGGTAGGCAAAACAATTTCTTCTCTAGCTGGGGACCAAGGACAGCTGATCCAGATCTCAGGCCCAAGAGCACAAACAACGGTGAATGAAGAGAGAAAACAAGGATGGGACTTCATGGGCTAAAGCTGTAATTGGACAATTAGCTCCAATATGCTAATGGACCAAAACTTATAAAAGTGTGAGACCTCATGACCAGTTGGGCATTTTGTGACCATTTTGGGTTCGTCTCGGGTGTAGCCCTGGCTGGGCTCTCATACTGCCCAAGGCGTATCCATTGGGGACTTCTAATAAATCCCTACTTTATTCTTTAACTCCATCTAGTCTCTGTTCTAGGTCAGCCTTCACAAGGCATCACATCCACTTCTTGGGAGCTGCTGATTCTCTTTTTTTGCAGAACTGAAGAGTCTCTGCTGAGCACAGAGGGGAGGAGGAGGCAGGGACCCCTCGGTGCAGCTCCATGACAGTGTCCTGTGCAGAAACAAGGGGCCACAGGGCTGGCTGCAGAGGAAAGAGGTTGCCCTCCTCAGGGGCTGGGAGGGCTACAGCTCCATGTCTGGGAACAGGCAGATGCAGCAGTGCCCTTTGCAGCTGCCAAGCCAAGGTCTCGGGCACCAGGAGCACCACTGCATCTCGCTGCATGTTGCTGCTCTAAATTTAGCCCTGTCAGTGCCTCCTGGGTTGGCTCTGGTCTCTGTCGGTAGCTGGGAGAGAGCCAAGGGCTGGGGGAGAGGAGGGCATGCTGTGGGACATAGCTCACACTCCTGCTCAGTGCCAGGGCCAAGGACCACTTCTCTCCTTGCGTGGAAGAGAGAGGGAACTATGCCCAGAATTAGAAAGAAGCGTAGCCTGGTGCATGTGGCAGGGTGAATGAATTCTCCCATTCCTCACTGGAAGGGGCACAACAAAATCAGGGCTTCACTAGAGGGACTCAAGTATTTCACTCTTACACTTTTACTATCTTCCAGTACATTCCAAGTAACAAGATGGCTATAAATAAAACTACCCTGCCAGCAAGTAGCTTTGGCTGGTGTTAGGAAGAAGAGATTGATGCATTTCTGTTCACAGCTGGAAACAAGCCTCAGTTCCCCTAGATGATGAGCTTCTCTGCAGACAGCATCACCATATCACTTAACATTTCTCTGAGTGTTAATTAGGAAGCAGGTTTGTGAATCTGAGGATGAGTCTGGAAAATCTACTGTTCTGTGGTGGAAGGACCAGGGTACAGTGATAAGAAATAGAAGGGATTTCCTTTTTTTTGTTTCTTAATGTAGTTTTTAGGCATATGAAACAGACCAACACCTCTCCAAATTGTCCCTGTGTTCACATTATACTGAAAAAATGACATTTATCAGCATGGCTGGGTGTTAGGGAAGTCTATTAATGGAAGCAGTATGCAACTGTACAGAGATGGTATTTAGCAACAAGCACATAAAGCTTTTCTTCCATTAAAATGCTGCTTCGGGCAAGAATGCATTGCTTGATTAGTTTTTTGGAGAGCAGTTTTTCATTCATAATGAGAACACATATCTCAGCCACTGTTATTAGTGAGAACATGCTCTAAAATGAAAATAGAGAGAAGGCAAAGCCAGGAAGCTGTCAGGGCAACGTTAAACAGCATCACATCTTGACAAGGTGAGCTGTCAAGAGCATTTTGGCACCATAGGAAGCACGTGCTGTGCAAGAGTCACTGATAACAGCAGAGCAGCCATCCACATAGCACTCAGGTTGGATCACTCTTGGTGGTCTTGGTGCTTGCTCCTCCCCAGCATTTCTCTACTCTCCTCGGCTTTCAGGATGCCATGGATAGAATTGCATGTTGCAGGTTTCTGGGGGTTGGATGCCTGGTTCTCATCTGTTGACTGAAGAGGTGAGTGATTTTTCCAGAGCTTGTATAAAAAAAGGGCTCCTCACCGCAGTGCCTTGCATGGCGTCAACTTCTGCCCCACAGAAGTCAAGTGGCTTTTGTGGTCGAGTGAAAGGTGAAATACAAAAGTAAGACAGAGTCCTACAAGCAGTCGTTTTGACTGGAAAAGGACAAACTCCATTTTAGTTGCCATTCTTTTGATCCTCTCTGTTGGAGTGTGTGCGGCAGAGACAGCGGCTCTTGCTGTTCGGCATTGTCACAGCTCAGTACAATGTGTGGCCACCTGCAGCCAGGCACAGGCACCACGCAGAAAGAGGAGGTTTGTGCTCCTCTGTTTGCCTTGGTCACACGAATGCATCATCTGTGAGAGATAAATAACACAACAGAAACTGGCAATGCAGTGAAATGGCAGCGTCATCCAGTTTGCCATGGAGGGAGGGTTACAGACAAAGCAGGTTATGCACAGATGGCAGAGTAAAGGGAGTTTCCAGCAATGAAGGATGAAACCCTTTGCCTCATAAGCTCTGCAGAGGATGAAGTGGCTTCTTTTGCAGCTGAGGGCTGAGCTCGTGTCCTTCACAATCTTCTCTTTAGTTCCCTTTCTCTCTCCTCAGAGAGTTCAGCCCTGAACAGCCAAACAAGTCCTTTGCAGCCCCACACTGGAAGTAAATCCTTTGAGTGCAGGAGTTTTGGGGTACAGGATTGAAACCAAGATCAGCCAGACTGGGGCTTACCTGACAAGTGGGTCCCCAGATGAGAACAGCCAGCATGTCTGTGCACAGCAGCAGAGCCCCTGGGCCCTCTGCCCTGCAGGGAAATGTGTGCTTGCTAATTAGAGGAACCAACTCTCCAATTGCTCTGCTGTTCTGCAATCTCTCACTGGGGGTTCTCCCTTGAGATCCGAGCTCAGAGCTCTGAGTGTTTGCACGGGGGAACCCTGACTGCTCCAAAAGTTTCTCTTCTGATCCCCTCTCAACGTGGCTGGGGAAGAAAGAAGTCACACACCCCCTAGCCCCCCTCCCCAGGTAACAATGCAACTGTGGCCAGGCTGACAGAACACAGTACTTGAGCAGTTCTTCCTTTAAAACCAACCATTTGTTGCTTTTTTCCCCCTCTGAGATTACAGTATCTCTGCTGCCAAATGAGTTTTGAGATCAGATAAACTGGAAATACTTAAAATTGTTACCCAAAAAACCAGGTAAGAATGAACTTATGAACTTAAAAATGAACTTGTGAATTATTGTTCTTTCCCCCTGTTTGCATATTTCACTACTTTTCGGTTTCTTTCTGACATGAAAACTTCTATTATGATTGCAGCCTTGCCAGAAAAGCTAAAAGCAGGAAATACTACTGGATAACATTCACAGAGTTTTGTAGGCAAAGAGGTAAACCTGCATAAATATTTTAAGGCTCAGGCACTTCTTGAATTAAGCTGTAATCACTTTGTCCAGCTTTATTCATTCAGTCCTTTCCTGTGTTTAGCGTGGTTCACCAAGTTGAACAGATTTCATGGAAGCTGCAGGATAATTGAAGTTCCTACTGCATGTGTTTGCTATTTCTCCCAAAGTACTGAGGTAGTTGCTCCTGTGCCTGATGTTTTCTCCCTGCTGTAACAGGAGTTGCTTGACAGATTAATGCATGCATTTTCTTATCTGTCAGTTTTTACAGTGTGCCGTGAGCTTTGGGAGTATTTTTATTGCCTATCATTTTCTCCAGAAAATGAGTGATTATTTGTACTTTTTTTTTTTTTTTTTTTTTTTTTTACTACTATAAGAGTTCAGGCTGGAATTGACATTTCCTGGGACCATCTCTAAGAGTAAGCAACCTTCACAGCAATATTTACTTGCTCTGCTACAATTCTGGGACTTTTTCATGTACTGAATACTTTGATTCATAGACAGAAATGAGCCTGATACTTCCAGGCTGAGGAGGGAAAGGCAGTGCAGTCCTTCATCCATCTTCCAGACTTGGATTTTCATCCAGCTCTACAAATGGAGCCTTGAGTCTGTCTTGCCCTCTGATATACTCTGTGCCTGTGCACCACCCAAAATCCTATCTACGTGTCTGCATGAGAAAATGAACTAATCAGGTGGGAGGTCTGGGAGTGTTTAAACACACAAGGTTGCCACCTCAAAAGGACAGGAGTCACAGGGAGCTTCCCCTGATCTTTCCACCAGCACTTATCTCCATTTTGTGGCAGCTCACATTGCCCAGGGCTTTGTGGAAGAGGATCCTGGAATTCACCAGGTAAAAAGATGTTCTGCTGGAGGGGGAAGAGAAGATCTGTGCCCTAGGGAAAACCAGCTTTGGAAGAGGACTCAGTGCCCTAGAGAAACATTAGCTGTTTAAACAATATGCTTAGAGGATGTCTGACTACTTAAGGATTGTCAGTTTTGTGTGTTCCCAACCATCTGGAGTGATTTACATCCCATTCTTCCCATTTCCAGCTCCACAAGGCCAGGAGCTGGCCTGTTTTAGTCTGAGACTAAAAGTGGTAGTTGTATCCAGGAAAGGAGCTCCTTCATTCAGGTTCTGGAGTGTTTAGGCTCTGTTAGATGGATAGGAACCCTGAAATGGGGATAACAGGGCATGGAATAAACACAAGGAGAAATACTTTCTTCCAGAGACCTCTTGCATTTAGTACAGAACTGGAAATTGGTGAGAAACACTCTGTGAAATTGTGGGGAGGTATCAAGGTGCTATTTTCATTTAGTGTCTTAGAGAACTTAGAGATCTGTGCAAGAATTCAACAGGGAGGGTACAGTTTCAAAAATAAAAGACTGGAGAAGATTGGTAAGAGTCTTACACTCATGAAACAGCTTCTCTTTTCCCTTGGAAGGGCCATTAATTGTTCTCTGCTAAGGAGATTTTTTTCCCCCCTACTCCTGTCTCAGTCTTTATCAGCTATTTGTACTGCTGAGACATCTCCTGTGTGAGGAGCTGACTCAGAGCTCAGACCTGCAGTGTTCTTAGGGTCTTGATCTTTGGGACAGAAATAAACACATCAATTGAATTCTGCTCGTAAAACTGACACTATCCAGACCACCAGGCCTAAAATATGGCCTTGTGGGTTTTTATGATTGGAACAGGAAAGTCAAATGTCTTCATTCTCATTCCTCCCCACTCCAAAAAAAAGAGAAAAAATAATACATTTATGCATCTGTACCTACAGATGTCCCTCTATATATAGACACTATCATACATTTCACTACACACTCAAATAGCACCCAGAAATTTAAGGTTAATCCACCCACATGAGTGTACGAGATAAGGGAAATGCCACAATAAAGAGACCCGTGCTGTCTTCATAATTCCAGACATATTTCTAGGCTTAAAGCAATGCCACAATGCTGGTCTTTCAACAAAAGCACAAAATTGCATCCAGTGGTTTCCACTCCTGGAAGCCCTCTGTTAGAGTCTGAAGAAAGTTTTCATTTCAACAGAAAAAAGAATAGGCTGTTGCTGGCACAAAATTTGGGAAATCCATCCTCTGCATTCTTTGTGCTGCTTCCAACCTGCCACTCAGAGCTCTGCAGACAGGTAGGGCTCTGCTTCTCCACTTTTTTACTGAGGGGTGTGAGAAGGACAACAGAACAGGACACAGAAAAATGAGCCAAGGAATTAGCACAACAACAACTTCAGGCATTTGGGAAACATTCAGCCCATTTGGAAGAAAAAAATCACATAAACGTGTGCTGGATAACAACACTGAAAATAAATTACAGAGAAAAGAGAAGCTGATATAATTGTTGTAAACAAAGCCAAGTATACAATTAGAGCTACTCAAGGCTTTTATTGTGATAAAGCCAGTTAATCCAACAAAATCCTTGCTCAGTTCTTTTTAAAAACAAACACAAAAAAATTCTGTGCCAGAGAAGCAAACTCAGAGGAGCAAACACAGAGGAGCTATGTTTTATCTCCAACAAAATTTAGTTAGAGGGTAAAGAGCAAGATTAGTATTTTCTGGAGAGCTTTTGTTGAGGAAAAAAAAAAACCTTGGACATTAAATCTTAACATCAAAACTAAGACTAAGGAATAGCAGGGATGGAACAGCCACATTTTGAAAACAAAGCCTGACATTTCTGGCTTTTAGGCCATCTAATCAGCTTTGCTCTGCCCCTGTCTGCACCGTTGCTCTTCAGTACTGTGTCCCAAAAGGGCACTGAAGCACTCAGTGCCTGAAAAGCACCTTTATCATTCTGCAGCCAGAGAAATTCCAGCCTGGCTGCCACAGAAACCCCACTGCTGGGTCTCCTTCCTGCAGGCAAGTACCCCACAGTCCCCGGGGTAAAACCAGCATGGACTAGGATATGGCTGCCTTACAAGCAGCTGAGCTGCCTGGGTGGCTCTGCAGAGGAGAGCAGTGCAGTCAGATCCAGTGGCACTCACAATTTAGGGAGATGGCAGTGCTAAAAAGCGGCTTGAGACTGGTTTTTCCCACACCTGGCTCCAAGCAGGACTAACATATCCATCTTCCACTAGGAAGCATTATCCTAAATATCATCAAATTCAGCATCAAATTTGATACCAGCTTCACCAAATTCATTGGCCAGGAGAGATGGGCTAATGCTGGCAGTGCTGCTGGGGGGGCTGCTGTGCAAGCTGGAGATGGATGAGGGGCTGTGGGGAGAGAGGCAGAGAGGCAGTGGACACCTTTTCCCATTTCAGCACAAGGGAAAAGCCTGGGGAGCACCAGAGATGCACTGTTCCAAACAGATGGCTGGTCCCAGATGCATTGCAGGATGACAGGAAACCTCCAAGGCCATCAGTCCCAGTGTCCAGAGATGGAACCCAGCAGCTCTCCAGATCACCTCTCAATCCAAGAGGGCAGCAACACTATGGGATGCAAAGGAAGAAGAGTTTTGGAATTGCACAGGGCTTGTGGGATGCTTTAGTGGCAAACCAAAGGGAGGAAGAGGCAGGAGCAGGATGGTAGTTAGGGGATTTGGGGAGGAGCAGGAATGGGGGAGTAGAGGGGTATAAAAGGGAATAAAAGGGGCAGTCGTGGAAACAGTTTGCTGCTCAGTGCACTGCTCTGGGTGTGCTCTGCACCCAGCCAGCACAGCCTGGCCTCTACCCCTGGCAATGGCTTTCTAACCCTTCCCTAGGCAGGAGAGTGTTCCTGTGGGCACTGCACGTGTGAGGGTGTGAGCGCAGCAGCTGAGCTGGCCATGGCTCCGGCTGTGCCTGCAGTGAGTGCGGGTGATACTGAGCTCAGATCCAGCCAAAACAGGCTGGGAGCTGGGCACGCGGACTGGGAGCAAGGGGTGTGCGTGTGTGTGTGTCCCTGGGTCAGCTCTGGCTGTGACAGCACCTCTGTGTCCCCAGGAGCAAGGACAGGGGCTGTGGGACCAGGGGGCCATTCACTGAAGAGCTGGACTCTGAGATCCTTGGGGGTCCCTTTCAGCTCTGAAGATTCTATGATTCTGTGATACAGAAACGTGGTCTGTGGGCATGTGCTACTGCAAAAATGTTTTTAGCCTTGCTACAGTTTGGAGCTGAGGGTGTGGAGCTGCAGCAGCCTCACATCTCTCAGGCAATTGAAGCCAGCTTGCTGTGTTTTATTGCATACCAAGATTTGACCTTGGTCTAGAAATCTCTAAAAACTATATAGTCCCTGTTGAAGTGGCTTGAGCTGTTTCTTAAAGTCAGCCTTGCTTCTTGAGCTGACGGGTTAACCAAGTAGACACTTCAGATGTTTCTTCTCAGTCTGTATATTCAAGATGCAAGATAATCCAGGAGGGTGTTGGCTTACTTGAATTTGAGAACTAAAATAAAATAAAATAAAATTAGGCATAAACATATCCTGTGGCATACTGAGGTGCATCACAATTTCTTACCCTTCTTGTCATTTGGATAATGAGGACATTTATAGTCACAGCAGGAACACTGTCACAGGGTAAGTTTCCTTAATGCTCTGTCTGAAAAACACCAGATGACTAAAGAAGAGAGAGCTTATTACAATTAGTGCTGCTTGAGAACTTCTGGATGCTGTGCTTGCTGCCTGCAAATCCATTGTTCATCAAGACTGAAATTTGGTGTGAACATGTTTCAGTGGCTCTTTCTCAAGGATGAATATGCCCTGCACATCCCAGACCAGCTCAGGCTGTTGGAGCTTTCAGCTCCCTGCCAGACTTTGCTGGCATCTGCATTGTCAGGTTATAATTCTGCCACTGGCAACACAGAGCTGCTGCTTTCCTGAAGGCCTCAGAGAAAATGTAACAAGTGCTTTGCCTTCTCCAACATCAGCTCACTGTCCTGATGACCAGATATAGCCCTAAAGCCAGATTTTCTTAAGCTTTTCCACACCTGAGAGCAGCAGAGATGGGAAAAAAAGGAGAAGAAAAAACCCCAGGTAGGATAAGAGAAGAGCAATACTGAAAAAAGAACCAAACAGATTTCCTGATCTCTTCTGGCAGAGAGCAGACATCCTGATAAACAGATGGGATAACCCTCAACCACTGTGTGCTTCACTCCCAGGTTGTCTCTGACACATGACTTACCATTAAATTCCTGCCACCTGTCCTTAGACGGGCCTCTGGATTTCCAAGGGGACAAGAACACCCTGCTGAGGCATCCCTGGCCCACTGGACTGTGTCCCTGAGGGGCTTTGGTGGCATTGATGGGGTTGTGTTAGCTGTGAGCCACTCCGTGCTCTGCACAGCTGCCTGCCTTGGTACCTCCTGAGGAGGAAGATGATGATGAACTTCTTCTGGGAAACATGTCTTTTTTTGAAGTCCCAGCACTGTGTTTTCTCTTCACTGTTTGTACACAAATACTGTCCTCGCAGCTCTGAGAGTTTTGAGGCCTTAAAAGCTTGCTTTCTCTTGGGAAACACCTCTGGAAAGTTCCTGGGGACATCAGTTCTAAGCCTTTGTCCAAGCAGCAGGCTGAGTGGGACTTTGGTACATTGCTATTACTTCTTTCACACATCTGAAAGGAAAATTTATGTGTCTGAAGGAAGAGATGTGTCTAATCTGCAACCTGTGTGGAAGCTCTGCTATACTGATAAATAAATGTCACCTCTTCAGAGATGTCTGAACAGCCCCATAACACTAACCCAGGTGCCACACAAATGCTGTATTACAACATGTGGCTTTACTCTGATCTCACCAATGTTTAACTTGGTCTCGTCCACCTTATTTGCTTTGATTAATTTATGGATAAGGTTTTTCATTTTCACAAAGTTTCACTTGCAGTGATTTTCAGTAACCAGGAAAAGTTTCCTTCCCTGTACAGCCCATGTACCCATCAAGAGAATCTTTCACCCTTTACTGGCCCAAAGTCCTTGAAAATCTGGTTTATCCTCAACTTTTTCCTTGAATACTGAGCATTTTCTTCTAAACTTTCTCCCAGATCTCCCTTGCTTGCAGCCATCTGTGAAGGACTCCTGAATAATTCAACAGTACAAAGCTGCTGTCAGTACCCTGGGCTCAGCACTGTCCAAAGTGAGCCACGCAGTGCCAGAGGCTCCAACACATCCTCACCTGCCCCTACTGGGACACATGAAACTCCCAGACCATTTCTTCCTCCACAAAAATACATCCAACTTCTATTAATTGTAGCTGTGTTCTTTATCAAGCAAGCAATTACCTCCCAATAATCTCAGGCAGCAGCCATGTTCCCAAAACTGTGAAGGTGATGCTGGAACTTTTAGTCAGCAGAGGCAGCCCTGTGTGTTGACATTAGGTACACATCCCTCTCTGTCTTAAACATGTGTTTATACGTGCACATGCATGCTGTTGATGAGCAGGTTTCTCTCTAAAACTCACTTTTCTTATTCAAAGAAAGGCTCAGAGGACATGTCACTCTTGTGAAGCCTGTCTGGAGCTTTGTACTGGTCCTTGCTCAGTCCTCTTGGAGGACAGCAGTTGATAACAGCACACACACAGAGAAATGTCTAGATCTACTAAATCTTATCCTTCCTCTAAGAGTGACAAAATGATGCTCTGCAGAACAGGAAGGCAAATTCACACATCTATCTCTCCTGAATTTATGAGCTGAATTTTGATCTTTGATTTGTTGGTCAGCTCTAAAAATGTGGACTTCACTGTGCTGCAATTCAGACTTTTGGCTTTTCTTTCTGCCCTGAAATTCATAATGCCTGGCTAATGAGCTTAGGCATGGATGTCAGGAGAGTAGCTGTAGTGCAAAAGAGAGAAAAAGCTTCAGTTTGCTTCTGGAACAGACTTTTCTGCCTATGGTAAGAGAAAAAGATGCTTTGATTCATAGCAAATGAGCCTTTCCAAATAAACTTGGCTGGGCATGCAATGGCATCTTCCTGTCACTGCAAAATAAATTCCTCCTGAGAAAAAATCCCTGTTGATAAACAACTCTCAAAGTGATTTTGTCAGGTCAGAATTTAAACAAGAAATTTCCTGCCTGCAGCAGGCCAAAAGTCAGGGAAAAAAATAGGGATGGGTCCTCTCAACTATAGGCAGGATTTTTCCATCCTGGGCGCCCTTGCTTCACAGTGTGTTGTGCTCCCAAAGCCACCCTGAGCAGGCTTCATGCTCTGCTCTGGTTAACTGAGCAGGAGGCAGGGAAAAGCTGTGCTGGGAGTGAATCCTTGGAGCTGGGGCTCTGCACCAGCTGAGTGTGGCCCCTGGAAGAGCCACCTGCTCAGAGTCAGGGCAGATATCCTCTGCAAAGGCACTCCAGTTTCACCTGGCTGGGCCCCGGGCTGTGTGCTCCGTGGGGAGGGTCAGCCCCTCTCTGCACTGAGCAGGCTGGGTGAAATGCCACGCTCTGCTTGGTACAGATGACAGGGCTTGGCTAGGCAGGACAGCACCTTTGGGCTGTCAGCTGAGAAGTCCCAGAGCTTGAAATAGGGCAGGCACTTCCCTGGGGAGCAGGAGATGCTCAGACTAGTGCAGAGAACCATGAATTTTTTCTGTGCCCGTGGGGGATGCAACCTGGCCAAGCAGGGATAGCATTTGCCTACCTGTGGTGTGTAGAGCTGCATAGAAATGAGCAGTGTCTGTGAAGTTCAAGCTGGCAGGCAAGCTTAAACCTCCCTGCTGCACCATCAGGGGTTTTTATTTTGGCATCTTGATGTCTCTTTTAATCTGGCATCCCACAGCCCTTGGGTGTGCAAGGGTTGCTCCTGAGGGGCTGGTGCAGGATGTGAGCCAAGCCCAGATTTCCCACTGGACGCTGCTGACATCCTTGCTACCATTCCTTGTGTCACAGCCTGCCGAGGGTTTGCTAAGCTCCCTGCACACACCCACATATGTAAATTGCCATGGCAAGTTTATTCTCAGCCCAGAATTTATACCTTTCCGAAATTCCTTCCCTTGGAATAAGCAGATTATTTCCCTTTTGGACATATCTGTGCAAGTTCAGCAGGGTCAGGAGACAGTGAGGGCAGCCTATCTGTCTACTCCTATGACTTCTAGAGGAAAAGGACACCAACATAATCAAGTTCTTTCTCTCCTAGAGCAAAAGGATTCTTCCCAGAGCCCAAAACTCTGGTTAAGGCCCCTTGGCTTTGAATTGGAACCTACAGAAAGCTCATCTGCCTCAAATGTTTGACATAACCCTGGCCCCCTAATCAAGCTATAATTTCCCACCATTTTCCAGTAATCTCACTAAGTCTATCTTCCCAAAGTATTGTTTGCTACCAACTCACCTATAACAAATGCTCTATTTCCCTTTAGAATGAAGGCTCATTCTCACCCTGTGGAATTGCTGAAGAGTTTTCCAAAGCAGATGATACCATTGCCATCTTTTTCCAGATCCTTTGCAAACTGTAGCTCTGCAAGTCTTATTTGGCCCAGACCTCTTTGTTTCCAGTATTTCTTCTTTCAATCCCATTCATCCATTAAAAAGCTCCATTTGGCTGTGCAAGTCTTCCTCTGCTTGGCAAATTAAAGCTACTTTGTCAAAGATTATTTATGGGTCCTGTAGTTCTCTGTCTTTCCCCCTTTGTTCCATCCCAATCGATATTCTAACCATCTTGCTCCATTTTTAGTGTTCTACTCAAGTTGCTGTGCTGTTGTTCTCTCTCTGTCTCTGCCTAAATGTGCATGAGTGAGATGAAGTGCCTCCAAACAAATTTCAGAAATCAAGCTCAATTGTCATCTTTTTGACTAACAGTCAGTGATACTTCCTGACTGTTTATGGAGAGCAACAGAGCCAACCATGAGAAATAAAATTCAAGGAGAGGGACAGGAGAAGGAAAGGAAAAAAAGGAGGGAAGAAATAAATGAATGAAGAGTTGGGGAGAGAGAAGAAAAGAGTCTGCAATCCCTCAGTGAGACAGCGAATCAGAGTTTATGAAAACTGAATGAATTATTGATAAAATAAAACTTTTAAGGGATTTATATGCTAATTAATCACTGAGTTAATTCTTATTAAATGGCAAACCCTCTGATTATGCCACCCAGTACAGTCATGACAAAAGCAGTTCTTTCTGCAGCTCCCATCTGTTCTAAAGGCTGCCAGGATTTGTCCCCAGAAGTCAGGGACTCAGGAAAAGGAGCTTTCAGATTCCCTTCACACCTCTTTTGTAATCTGTGTATTGATCTCAGCAGACAAGGGAAGTGTTGCCCTGATGTGGAAAGTCCCAGCCACATGGCTACATGAGGTTCAAAAAACAACAGTTGACAGACTTCAGTTTACCTAATGAAAAATTGGGTTTTCTTTCACTTTTAAAAGTGGGTTTGTATAAACTTACAGATGTGGAAAGTATCTGGCAGTATGAGTCTGCTCATCTCACAGGGGAGAGTGCAAGAAATGAGCATTTTTTGATTTTGAGGTGGATAACAAGATATTGCATTGACCTTCTTAGGCAAAGAGGAAGAGCTGCACCACTTGAAATCTTGGATCTGACCTTTTCTGAAGTGACATGCTTCAATTCAGTATGAAGTTGTCAGATTCAATCATACAGCCTTTAGATGGAAGGAAAAAACTAATTCTGCCTATTCTTTGATCAGCCTGGAAGGTCATTGCAACCCCACACTCAAGAGTTTTTTGTCTCTGAGCAACTTCCTTGTGAGGTTAACATGCTGAAGATATTCCAGCGTGGATGAGACTTTAGAGTCTCAGGAAGTGGTTGCTGAAGAGTTGCACTGGGTTGACCCTGGCTGGGTGCCAGGTGCCCACCTTGGTTTGACAAGACAGGTGTCTGCTAAGGAAGGCAGGAGCCTCCTCTGAAATGGAAAATGTAAACACCCTCCCTCTGAATTATTATAATTTTGTAAAGGCTCTCATTCAAAGATATGGGAATAGGAATAACAAGATCTTTACTAGGAAAAGTAAAAATACAATAGCATAAACAAAAAAAAAAAAAAAAAACCCAAACAACAACAACAAAAAAAACCACTGACAGAGCCAGAATAGGAGCTGATACCCTGTGGGTCAGAGTGTTGGTAGGAGTCCCATTAAATGGGTAATGCAGCCCTCCTGCAGTGCCAGCTGTGGTTCTGTTGGAGCAGGGATCCTGTAGAAGGGTGGAGCTTTCCTCCGAAGGTCCAGTGGTGGTGTGAATGGGCCTGGCCTTCCTCTGGGAATCCAGTGGAGAAGAAAGCTGCTCCTCTGGGAATCCACTGGAAAAGGCTGCCTGTGGTGTTCCAGATCTCAGATCATATCCAGGTAGGAATGCTTGGCTCCTCCCCCTGGGCAGAGCACCTCAGAATGGAATGATCTAATTTTATCAGCCATGCAGTGACACTCACTGGCCCATTAACAGAAGATAATTAATGTCCCATTAACAGAAGGAGGGAGGATTGGTTATGGAAGAGATAAAGAGAACGGCCCAATTAACAGAAGATAACTGCTCCACAGGTAGGAATAGAATACAACACCCATTTCCAACCCAAGACACCACCAAGCTGCTCCATCCCTCCCTTTCCCAGTGGGACAGGGGAGAGAATAAGATGGAGAACAACCAGCAGGGTGAGATGAGGCAGTTTTATTACAGTGAAAGAAAGGAACAAGCGAGAGTTTGGGTGTTCATAAGTGATGCTTCCCATCAGCAGCGATGTTCACACAATTCCTGGGAAGCAGGGCCTCAGCAGGTGTAATGTTCCTCTTCCAATGTTCCTCTGGAAGGAAAACATTGAAGAATCACAAATGACCCCACTTCTTCCTCTCTCCCTTAGCTTATATATCTGAGCTGATGCCATATTCACAGAATTCACAGAATCACAGAATGACTAGGATGGAAGAGACCTTCAAGATCATTGAAGGGGGTCTCATGATCAAGACCATCATCATGGGTCTCACCCCATGCCCCAACACCTCAACTAAACCATGGCAGCCACATCCAGGCTTTTTTTAAACACATCCAGGGATGGTGACTCCACCACCTCTCTGGGCAGATCATTCCAGAACTTTATCACTCTTTCTGTGAAATCTTTTTCCTAGTATCCAGCCTATATTTCCCTTGACACAGCTTGAGACTGTGTCCTCTGGTTCTGTCACTTGCTGCCTGGAGAGAGAGACCAACCCCCACCTGGCTACAGCCACCTTTCAGGGAGCTGTAGAGAGTGATAAGGTCACCCCTGAGTCTCCTTTTCTCCAGGCTGAACACCCCCAGATCCCTCAGCCATTCCTCACAGAGCTTGTGTTCCCAGCCCCTCACCAGCCTCGCTGCCTCCTCTGGACATGCTCAAGTGTCACCAGAAATGGTACCGAATATCTCTTTGGTTCATTTGGGTCAGCTGGTGCTCCCTCCCAGGATCCTGCCCACTCCCAACCCCCTGATGGGGAAGGAATGTCAGAGGGACAGCGCTGCTCAGCACCAGCCAAAAACTGGTCTGTTATCAACACCCTTCCAGCTACCAATGCAAAGAACAGCCCTGGGAGGGCTGTGAACTCTGCCTCGGTCAGGCCCAAGGCAATCTCCACCCCTTATTCCACACCATTTGTGTCATACTCTGATCCCACATAATCTGTGTACCTTCCAACTCTTCCATTGTATTTATTTTTCATTACTGAATCCTTTCTTACCCACACGGCTGAAACTATACCCTTAATCCCTCTCTATACCAAACATACATTAACTATTCCCAGGGCTCTTAGCAGATCCCGTAGTGCTGGCCAGCCAAGTGCTTCTGCTAAGTTTGCATCCCAGTGCTTCCATGTCCCATTACCTAATGCCCTTAACATAGCTTTCAGCAGCCCATTATATCTTTCAGTCCTCCCAGAGGCCTGTGGATGACAGAGAATGTGATATATCTACTCAAGGCCATGTTTCTTTACCCAGGAGTTTATCAGCCACCAGAGCCATTCCACCCTTCGCTGCTGTGAATCACATATTTAAGAATAATCATTAAAATCAACATTCAACATACAATCTTCACTTAGAATAACAAAAAAATAACAACTGAACTAAACAGAAGAAAAGGTGCCCACACCAAATCCAAGAATAACATAATCACAATACAGAACAAAAATGGACAATTTACAGAAAATCTGCTGCTGGACCCTTCACTACAATTACAACACAAATTCCCTACTATCATTCCACTTGGTAACATGGTTTAATACCTGTTTTGCCTGTTATTTCTCCCAATTAATACCTTATCTCAAAGTCCTCATGACTCACCAGCATCTCCACCAAAAACTGTCATGGTTTGACACTGGTCAAACTCCAGGCATCGCCAAAAGCTGCTCACTCACCCTTCCCTGCCACAGCTGGGCAAAGGAGAGAGAAATTTAATGGAGGGTTCAGGAGTTGAGATAAGGATGGGGAGAAAAACACTCCAAGGGCAAAACAGGCTCAACTTAGAGAAACAAAGGGAATTTATTACTGACAAAATCAGAGCAGGACAATGAGATGGGAAATAAGCTCTTAAAAACACCTTTTCCCCCCAGCCCTTCCCTCCTTCCCACCAACAGTGCAGGGAGACAGAGCATGGGGGTCTGGGGGTCAGTTCATCACCCAAGGTTTTCTTCCACTTGGAAGATGAGTCCTTCCCCTGCTGCACCCTGGAGTCTCACACGTTCTCACCTCTTCCTCTTCTCTGGCTGGAATTAACCTTGTTTTGATTTTCTTCTTAAATATGTCATCGCAGAGGCATTGCCATCATCTCTATTTGGCCCAGCCTTGGCCAGCAGCAGGTCCATCTTCAGAGCCAGCTGTGGTTTCCCAGGAGCTGCAGGGGTGCAGCTGCTTCACCATGGTCTCACCACAGCCTGCAGAGGAATCTGGGCTGTGGCACCTGCAGCACCTCCTGCCCCTCCTTCTCCACTGACCTTGGTGTCTCCAGGTTGTTTTCCTCACACGTTCTCACCTCTTCCTCTTCTCTGGCTGGAATTAACCTTGTTTTGATTTTCTTCTTAAATATGTCATCGCAGAGGCATTGCCATCATCTCTATTTGGCCCAGCCTTGGCCAGCAGCAGGTCCATCTTCAGAGCCATCAGGGATTGGCTCTGCTGGACATGGGGGAAGCTTCCAGCAGCTTCTCACAGAAGCCACCTCTGTCCTCCCCAAGCCACCAAAAAACCAGGCCCTGCAAAACCAACTCAAGAGTGAATAAAATTTTTATAGGGAAAGCAAATATGCCCTATCAGACTAGCAAGTGTTCTCAGAGGAAACAGACCAAATTTGGGGTTCACAAGCTCTTGTTCAGAACTGAAAGCAAAGCTGTCACCAAGCCATTCTGTCACTCCCCTCTTCAGCAGGACAGGGGGACAATATAGCACAGGGGTGACATGGGTAAAGATAAGGACAGAGAGAGATCATTTACCAAGGATCTTAAAAGGCTAAACAGGCTCAGCTTGGGCAAAATTGATTTAATTTATTGCCGATTAAGCAGAGTAAGATAATGAGAAATAAGAACTAATATAAACATATCTTCTCCCCACTCCTCCCTTCTTCCTGGGCTCAGTTTCACCCTCAGCTTCTCACCTCCTCCCCCCAAACCCTGAAGTGGGATAGGGAAT